CTTCTTTCAGTGTTAGTTTTCAGTCTCTCTAGATGCATAAAATGACTTGTTTTTCACATATTTTCGGTGACGGTATGAAGAAGAAGAAGAAAACATTTTTCTTTTGATTCCATGCATTTCAATGAAGTGGACATATCCAAAGACTTCAATGGCAGAAAACACTCCACATTTTGTCCAATACTGGGATAATGCTCAAAGAAAATATATCTGAGTGTCAAGTATTTTACAAGAAGAGATCCAAGAACAGCTGGACAATAATATTTCGTTATTTTGGAACATTACTTCAAATAATATGGAAGCTGTTTCTCAATGACAAGATTGTTTGAAGGATTTATAAAGTTGATGGGGAAATTTGTTAGCTTGACAAGGCCTGGAGCCATGGTGATCTTTATTTTCACAAGATCTTTAATTTCTGATCAGAGCTAAAAGAGAAAAAAGATATTTTTAAGAAAGACAATTTTAAGGACAGAATTTTTAATTGGGCCATCTTAGCTAAACAGGAAGTTAATTACACTTGCAAATTCAGGATCAACCAATAGTAATATTAGGCTTGAAACAATTGTACAGTTGTGTTTTTTCTGGAAAATTTTTAAACAAAAAATTCATCGGCTACTTTTCCAGATACTTTTTCCAGTGTTCTAAATGGAATGACATAATGCAATATATTTGACTTGTACTGCATCTACTAAACTTTTGAATGTTCAAACAGATGGTAAGTATCTGAATAGCAATGTTTGATTAGGAGGAGGGGAAAACAAAGAGACCTAATGGCTGTAATCCTGTTGAGTAGCATAAGCGAAGTTGCCAAATCTTACAACTTTGCTTACATTACACAACAGGACTTAGCAAATGTGTTTTCAGTACAATTTTCAAAGTCAAAGCTTTAGTAGAATCCTTGTCTTCAACATTTTATAACAAAGTATCCTTCCCTTATTCTATTTGTTTAAATTTAAAAATTAAACTCACAAAAATAAACTGAAACACTAATTTGAGCACACCCATTGATCTCAGCACATTGTGCTGTGGTTCTCCCTTTATCTATTTCCAACAGCTCTTAACTCTCTTTCACAGAGACCCTTGGGGTCTTGGGGGGTTTGGTTGCTTTTGGGTTTTTTCCCCATTTCCAATGGGTCCTGCATGCTTCCCCTTGCTTTTTTTGTTTTCTTTGCATTTCCGACCTGCCCCCTTTATTCTCTGTGCATTTCCGATCTGCTCCATTAGTTTTCTGTGCATTTCCAATGGGTCTTGCACACTTGATTCTCTCCCCCCCCCCCAACCTTTGACCGGAAGGGATTAATTGCATTTCCAATGAATCTTGCTGTGAATTTTTTGTATTTTTTTCCCTTCGGCTGGAAGAGATTAATTGCATTTCAGTGCATTCTTATTGAAAATGGTGCTTCGATTTACAAACATTTCGAGTTACGTCCATCTTCTGGAATGGATTATGGTCGTAAGCCGAGGCACCACTGTAGAAACAGTTATAAAAATATGAGAGAAGATAGAACAGATCATGTAGAGAGTTACAGAAGAGAAACTGCAAAGTGACTGCAAAGGTAGAAACTATTAGTTTATTACCTAACTTTTTCTCCTTCCTTTAACAGAAGCAGACTGGCACACTTTAATTTTTTTGCTCAGTTTCCTTTATATTCCACTTTTCTCCAATGGCTCAAGGCAGTATACATCTCTCTCCTTATCTCCAATCTTTGTGTAGGCATCCTTCAGTCTCGAGAGACTATGGTAACATGCTCTGTATGGAGGACTTGGAACAGCATCTAGTGTGGCTGAGAAGGCCAATTTGAGAGTGACAATCCCTTCCACACTGAGGACAAATACAATCTGTACCCTGTCTAGCTCCCTGATTTTGCTGCTTTCGTGACTGCCTCTTTGCCTCGGCCTGCTGGACAAGGGTCTCTTCAAATTGGGAGAGGCTGTGATGCACCGCCTGCCTCCAGGCTGAATGCTCAGATGTCAACGTTTCCCATCCGTTGAGGTCCATTCCTAAGGCCTTCAGATCCCACTTGCAGATACCTCCAATTTATCTTCAGAATAAACTTGTGAGGTGAGTCAGGCTCACAGTGTCTGACTAACCCAAGGTTATGCAGTGAGCTTCATGGCCAAGTGAGATTTGCCCCCAGGTCTCCACAGTCGAAGTACAAACACCAATCCACCACACTGGTGCTGTGATTTCCTACCATAACACCAGCAAATATCTTCTTAAATGAATATCTTATATAATCCAATTCATTGTTTTTAATCAGAGCTTGCAAAAGTTACTATTCTCCCAATGTCCTAAATGGACTATGCTTTTCAACCTTTTAAAACATCATTTACTCACTCTTATTAAAGGTGGCATTTTCTCATAGGGGAATGTCAATGAACCAATCTGTTGACACTTCCCTACATTCAAACACCAAAAACTGAGCAAGGACAATATCACCAACTTAAAACAAGAGATGGTCTGCTTCCAACATTTTTAGGTGTATGAAGATCCCAGGAAAATTGCAAAAGGTCTTCTAACCACGGCCCCAGACAGAGAAGAGCCAAGGAGCAGCACACCTTCTCATTAGATCTTGGAAAAGTTACTTTTTGGACTACAACTCCCAGAATCTCCACACTGTGTTTCAAGCAAGCTAACTTCAGGTTGTAAGGTCCACTTTGTTTTTATATTAGAACCCCAACAGGCACTAAATGGAGCCTTGTGCAAAAGGCATTTAGTTAGAACTAAAGAATTCTGATACTCATACGGGGATTTGTTTTGAGCACTAAAAGTGAATGGTGCTCACACTCTTTCCACCCATAAATCCACTAGTGGTTGTGCTGAGTTTTCTTCATTGCAGCCGTCACAATTACAGTGGCAATGGGAGTTGTTTTATTGCTACTTTTGTTAGGAGTCAGAAATCTTAGATGGTTTTCTGCAAAATCCTCAAGAAATTTATCAGTTATGCAGATCGAGCTGTCTGTCTAGAGCTCATCCTATCATTGGGCAAAGTGAGGCAATGTCCTTAGCTGCTGCAGCAGTTAGGAATGAGATGGCATTGAGAAGATGGAAGGCGAAAGCTCTTTTTGCCATGCAGCTTGCCCTCTGGCATGAAAGAAAGCATTCAAACATCATTGGACATTCTTCTTCTAGTCTAGGAAACTTCTGTACATGAAATGGTTGCAGAAAGAGGCAATATCATTTTGTTCTCTCCTGCAGACTACAAAATATCTTGGGCTGGCTCTAGTTCTGTCAACCCCTGGTCTAAGACTGCATATTCATAGAACTTCTTCAAAAAGGTACGGAGTGTTTTTGTGTGCATGGTTGATAGGAAAGGGGGTTAAATCATAGATGTTTGCTGTCCATTTGACATTTCTGACAATTTCATAGCAGTTGAGTAATTTTACACAATAATTTCTGTACGATAGGAAGGGTGAGGGAAGGATTTTCACTGCGATTTTTTGGAAACATAATTTGATCATCTCATTACTACCAAATCAGCATCTTTCTCCATGCTTACTGATTTAGCATGCTGAGAAACCAGGCAGGAGAACTTCACTGGGAGCTAATCTGAGCTCCTTTTGATAACATGTGGAAATTCCCTTGTTTTTGAACAGACTGTAATTCTTGCTGAGCACAAGAAAGTAAAAAAGAAATTATTGGAAAACTGAAAGTAGTGCCTATCTTTGCTTCTCACCTCACCCCTCAGTGCTTGACTGGAAAGAACAATAACAGCACAATGCTGCATTTACTAAAATAAAAGTTCAAAGTTATAGATTTACAATCAACTCCCTATAGTTTAAAATTTCCACTGTACTACAATCAGATATAAGTAATGATGATTTCCATTTTCCATATGACACTGTTTTAGATGGATACTTGAAATCTAATCAATGGGCTGAATCCCTGTTAATTACTTACAACTTACTCAAGTTCTTGTTATGTTAATGGGCCTGCTCCAGCTGTGACTAAATCTGGATCCAAATCACCACCGTACCTCTTTTAAGATCAATGGAACAGAACTGTTCTTTGATGTAAACGACCTATAAAATTCATTCCCTCATAGAAGCTGGAGATTGCATGTGTGCAGTAAATCATTCAGGTTTTTTGGGGGAAGCATTTCCTGAATATTTACCAAAGATCAGAATAATCAACTTTCACTTATACGACTTTAGCTGAAATGTGTACAGCTAAAGCTCCCCCTCCTTTTCACTAAGAGAATAGCAGTAGATTTTTGGAGATTTCACCCCATGTCCTGCCTTCGCCTCTGAAAAACAGAAGTGGGCAAATCGGCGGAAAATCCTCTGCCAGCAAAACCCAGAAGGGCACAACAGAGCAGTCGAGGCTGGAGCAGCGGATCCACCAACAGTGGGAAGGATTCTGCGCTATACTAGAGATCGGGACTTTCTTCAGCTCCAGAGGAAACATTTCAGAGGCCATTCTTTTTCCAGGCCAGGGATGGTTATGATGCAGCATATGAACTATGGGATGCAGCCAGGACTGCTTCTGTAGCCTCCCTGAGCCTACCACTTCTCCTTTTCAAAACATTTAAAATCTGGGGAATCGCATCTCCAGAAGGCTCCAAGGAATACAGTTCTCTAAAAGCTTGTGTCAGAAAATGACTTGCCTTAGCAACACTCCTCCATGCACAGTTTAAAAAAACCTCCACTGCCATTTTCCCGTAGTTGCTGATGTAGTTCATAGCAGGTTCTGAATGGAGGTGAATATGGGCCCCAGAGCCTCTGGACTTGCCCACCTCTGTCTTAACCAAATGAATCTCATTCTGCTGTTTGGAGGATAAGTAAATAGCTTTCCGTACATCACCCTAAACGTCTTTGAGGAAGGACACCTTAAACAAATAAGGGCTTTCTCCATCATCCTTAGCTTGTATGCCAACTCATTTGTCTTTAATAATAAAGAAATCACTATCCATAAGCAGTCATCTTAAAAAAATAAGTGTCCTGTATTTTCCACAGAAAAGAGGGTCTGCTGAAATAGTTGGGGGAAGGAAGTGAATCCTTACCTATTGTTCTTCTGAGATCTTCACACTGACTGATGTGAGGAAACTTCAGGATTTCTTTCCATTTTTTGCTTTTACCTTTACGTTTTCCTCCACCTCCTGAGAGAGAGAAAGAGAGAGAGGGGAAAGGGTTCTTTAGTATATTCTTTAGTTAGTATATTCCATTCTCAACCTCCCTATTCTCCCTGCATGGCCCTGCACACAACTCTCCAGCAACAGTTTGTCACTTGCCTTTCCACACTTCAGTGTTTTCAATACCATAAAATGATAGGTGGGAGTTGAGAAGGTTCAAAGTACTCTGGTTATTAAGACCTGCAGGGCATTTGTGTATATATTGCCCCTCCCATCATCCCAAAATAGGCAATGATATAGTCAGTTGTGTGTGTCATGAAGCAGGCAAGTGCAGTAAGGCACTAGAAAGCATATGTGTATGTCATTCACAAACTGAGGGCCTGGTGGCCATTCCAGAGTCACTCATGCTCTCCCTCTCCTGCAAACCCATCTGATGAAATATTATAATGGAAGGGTTGCTGGGATTGTCAGCAGGCTCCATTCCCTGCTTACCCACCACACCTATTAAGTTCTGGGTTCAGATGACCCATTTGCCTGAGCTATTTACCCCTCAAGCAGCAGCAGCAGCAGATTCTTGGGCTCTTGCTTCATTTTCTTCTCTAGAACTCACAATGCATCCTGGTACTGGTCTCTCAGGATCTTGTCTGTTTGCTCACGACTTGGATGGGTTTGTTGAGACCACAGAACCTTGATTCTAATGATCGAGAGCGGGGCCCTGAAAAATTCTGAGGTGAGCAAAGGGACATGCAAAATACCAGAAGGTGGTGAAATTGGTTCGGATATGTGTTGTGTTTGCTAGTTCCCTTGCTCCATCCTTTGTCGGTACTGCCACAAACACCCTTGTCTCTAGCTCAGGGCACAACATTTTTTTTTTTGGCAGAAGCAAGGGGAAGGGTTCAATTTTTTGGAATACGGAAACCTTTGAACCTGTTTGGAGTGTGGCCTGAAAAAAATTCTAAAGGAACAAGACAATATTGTATCTATAGAGCAAACCAAACTGAAGCAGTGTCAGTCTCTCTCATCGAACTGTAAATCACACAGCATTATACAGACCCACTTAAATGGGTCTCTTGTGAGAAGGTTCTCTCCCATGTTCTTCCCAAACCAAGAACTGCACTCTCCTCAGAGCTCTGGCCAGTCCCTTATTCACTGCTTTTAAATTCAGTGTCACGACACATATTTTTAACTTGGGTTTTCCAAATGCTTTTAGTAGTTTTTAATATACGCTGTTGCCGTTCTTTTCTTCAGTTTTGGTACACCACATTTTAGTATTTTCTCAGAACAGAAGCATAAGAACACTACACACACACACCCTACTGGGAAATTCAGGCCTTTATCAAATGTATTAAAACAGATAGCAATGTGAATGGATGAGTTACCAAATCAAAACCATCATATTAGAAATGGACTGCTAGCTGCTGTGGGAAAATCTTTTAGATTCAGTTTCAGAGTTGAGACGTCTACAAGGATAGAGACATTTTCAGATTAGAATAATATCCTTACAACAGAATTACTCCCCGTTGCTGTTTATCTGTATGTGTCTTTCCCCCTTCAGTCCCATTGAGTGCTACATCTTCTTTTTCACACATGCCACTGCCTTTATGTTTTGTGGAAAGCTTTACACACGGAATGCACTATTTTGCCTTTACTGTATTTCTGAATTACAACTGTGTCATCATGATCTCTATGAAAGGCCATCTTCCACATTTCAAAGTCTTGGCATTTCTACCTTCTAAAATGCTCCTGCTTCCTCAGTAAATAATATTATTTGTCCTCCTTTTTTGTGTGTTGCCTTGAGATTTCATTTTCACGGATTTTTAAAAAAAGATTCTTACTCTTTGGTTGTGAAACCACCCAAGGGAATTTACAAAGCTATATAAACATTAATTACTGAAAAGACTACAAAGCATTTGGCTGGAGAATTCTTATCACACTTGGCAATCTATATACTCCATTACTCACAACAGCAAGGAGAATATGTGATAGCTATTACAAGCATTAAATGCAGAAGAGAAAAAGCAGAGCAAAATAATCATGTTGCAAACAAATAAGAAGTCAGAAGTTGCTATAATGGGAGGAAAAGGGGATACAGTTATTCAGGGTGTGGGGGGGAAATATGCACAAAAATAACATTTTTTTAACATACATCTCTGCCAAGATCTAGGGTGTGGGGTGAGGGGAAGACCAGAGAGTTCCCTAGCTACAAGCATGATTGGTGCACAATGCAGCCAATGGCTTCTCCCCTGCTATTTCGTGTCCTACAAAAACAGCCGCATCACTTGATGACTCATTTGCTTGCATCCGAATAGAGTGGCACTCTTTTGCCTGTGACGTCTTTACGGTAAAGATTCCAATCAACTGCTTTCATTTGCCTGACCTTTTCTAGCTGGCAGCCTATATCCAGTAGCCATCCTCAATCGCTTGCTTCAAATGCAATTCAGCAGGACGTCAGGCGTATGTGCGTGCATGTGGATGTGTGCATGAGGACTTGAAGGACATCATGCACTAAGAAAACAGAGACAAAGGAAATTGGCTTGCTGGAGTAAAAGCTAAAAGTTGGTATCTCAAGATGGCAATTGTAGAGGTGTGAAAATGAAGGCTTGTCAAGTCCTTCCTTGATTCCTGACAACAAGTTTTCTTTTCCTGTTCGAAGGCTCTCCCGTTCTCTGTCTATTATCCAAAATCCAACAAAAGCACCATATGATGAGCGGCCCCAGCTTTACTATCTGGTCTTCTCTGAATGAGCATAATGCCTCAGTTTCTTAACTGCACCATGTGGTGACCTGCACCACCAAAGATAAATTCTCTTTTTCATTCAGTGGACTCAGGATTTGTGCTGAGTTAAGCCATTTCAATTCTCATAGTGTTGTAGCCTACAAAAGTTTTACTGCTTGACTACGGTTGCTAAAAACAGGAATAATACAAATGAATATAACTGCACATATTTTTAAAAACCCTATTAATGGGCATTTGGATTGTTGTTGATTTTTGTCATCATGAGGACTGTTGCAATTTGCAAGACCGAAGAAAGGTGGCCTCCAACACAACATACATACATGCATATGTTTACCTCAGTGTTGTTTTGTTCAGTCTTTCTGTTCAGTGTGTGGGCTAACAGTGGGGATGGGCCACAGGGCTCATCTGCTAGGCTCACCCTCAGCATCCTTATACCCACTGTTCCCATCTGCTCTACCAACATTTTCAAGCACTTGGTACAGAGCCATGAAAGGGCTGACCACATTCCTTTGGGTCAAGCTGCTTAGGAGTTACCCATGAATATGTGTTTTTAATGTTTGTCCTCTTTAAACTTCTATGCTAAACATGCAAATGCAAGTGTGTGATGGATGTCTAGCGTATTTACTCCATTCTAACTTTTAGTTCCTGAACTGTCATGCATATTCCTGAATAAGGCTTACATCACTACAAAATCCAGATATACTGTATTTGTCATCATCTGAACACAATTAGCTCTTACAACAAGAAACATAAGATCAATTCCAAAGTCACTATCTCCATCAAGTCATCCAATTCCAGGGAAATTTAAAAAGCACATAGAATAACATTTTAAAAAATAAGAAAGGATTCTCTGGATCAGAACAAAGTCCATTCTAGTCCAGTCTTCTGCTTCCATAATGGTATTCCAACCTCTCTCATATAAGGTTTCTTTGTTTCTATTTCTAGCCAAAAGAGAAATATTGCATTTCAAGATAGACAAAGGCTTGCCAGTAATGGCCCTAACTAGATTGGCACACATCCCAATCCACATGACCCGAGGTGAAATCTACACCTCTCTCTTGAGTCTACAGTCCCCATTTTAAAATTCAACTCAAACCTGCACATCTGTCCATGATTTTGGACTGTGTTATGTTTCTTCTAGACCACCTTGGGCCTCCAGATGTTCTTGGACTTCAACTCCCATACATCCTAACCAGCAGAGGTGGTGGTGAAGGCTTCTGGGGATTGCAGTCCAAGAACATCTGAAGGCCCAAGGTTGGGGACCACTGTTCTAGACCACCTCTAGCGTTGTGGTGTTCATCTTGAAAAAACCCATGCAGGCTTTAAAGCTAGCTCATGTTTGTGATTTTCAAGGCCCTAATGAAGGTATCACACACACACACACACACACTTTGTATTCAAATTTCTAGAAGACATTTATTTACAGATATTGCTAGTTAGTAACTTGGCAAAATAGTTAGCAAGATGGTAGAAGGAAAACAGACAAAAGAAAAAAGTCAATAGTTGAGTTAAAAATTTTGTAACAAATGTATCTTCTGGTTCAGCCATTCTATGTACACAAGTCAGCAGACCTATTTCTATAAAGTTCAAATGTAAAAATGAGCTGGTTTGCACATCAGAGCTTAGTTCCATATAACATCTTCCTAGGCTTTAAACACTCACGTACCTCTTGTCATTGACTGGAGATAACTGCAGAAGAAATATGCAAACAAATGTAAAACTCTTGCAAGCAATGTCTACCCCATAATTGAATGTTTCCCATTCGCAGCATAAACCTTACTACACCCAGACCTCCTACACCCAAAATGTCTAATACACTCATCCCGTCCCAATGCTTTTTGGCATATTGGAACTCAGTGAGAGTACAAAAGTTCCAGGGGAGACTGTAAGAAACTAAGAGTCAATACCTGGAGATGTCATTTTCTGGGTAACAACTCCAATAATCCCTTAGATTAGTGGTCCCCAACCTTGGGCCTCCAGATGTTCTTGGACTACAACTCCCAGGTTCTCAAAATGACTTCCCCAATAATGAAACTGGGGCTGATCTTTCTTGGATCAATAAATCCCAAGATAACTTATTTTCAAGAAAAATCAGGAGAAGGCCATATGGCCATTGAAACAATACAAATACAGGAAAAGGCAATATATTTATTTGACCATTAAGAATAAAAAAAACCCCAAAACAAACCAAAACAAAAAACAAAAAAAGCACGCTTTCAATGATAAATCATCTTCTTCTGTGCATCAGGTTCTTGTGGTAGTTCCAAAATTATATGCTGTCCAAATCTACA